GTGCCGCTGAGGGGCATGGCCCTGGCGCAGGGCTGAATGGACAAGCGCCAGCCCTGGGGTGCTGGGGCAGGCTGGCCTGGAAGGGGCAGCCCAGCTGTGGGAGGAACCGGGGCTGTAGGGGACTCTGCTGTGGCAATTCTGGGTGCTGCGGCTGCCCACAGGAAGCTTGGCCTGCCTCCAGCAGGGCTGCCAATCTTACTGCAGGGGCGGTCAAGGAAGAGGAGAGAGAAAGGTCCCTTCCCCTGCCCGTGGGCAGCACAAGATTAGCCCACCCAGGCTGTGCTTCTCCTCCAAACTGCATGGTGCTGGCTGTAGGCCCTGACGGGTTGACCACAACTTTTTAAACAGTGCACAAGATGCACCTTGGGGGGAGAAAAGCAAATGTTGGACGTGGGTGGTGAAACCCACAGTGGCACTAAGAACAGCCCCTTTCCCCCTCCTCCTGCGGGAGCCAAGATCCCTTTGCAAAGATGTCTGCAGGGGGAACCTGCTCAATGCAGAGACCCACAGCTGAGATCAGGACCCTGCAGCATTTGTGCCGGCTGGTTGGCTGGGCATTTCCTGTGCTAGGCGCTGCCACTGTTCAAGGCAGACAGGGTTCAGACAGTTGCTCCATGGCACACGTGAAGCACTGAGGCCCAGATGCACTAAGCCCTGGGTCCACCAAGGTGTTTGGATTCCTAAGTTCCACTGGGAGCAGTCTGAAATCAGGTGACGTTAGGAACCGAAATGCTCCGTGGCCCTGGGCCTACGGGATTTGCCCAGGGCCACACAAAGCAAATTCTGAGCCTCAGTCCAACACCTTAAGTGCACAGCTGTACTCCTCTCCTAGTTAGCCACCCCCCTCCCGTAGTTGTCATGAGATTCAATCCAGGATTCCCACCTGGAGCCCCGCCAGCCAGCCAGCTGTCACCCTAACAGCACAGGTGGGCTCAGCTCTCTCTACGGTGCAGTGACCAGCCCACGGCTTTTGTGTGATCAATGGGCCCAGGTAGTTAATGGCTGTACCGTGCTTTGAACACAGCAAGCGCTCGGATTAAATGATTAATTAATTACCCTTGCTGAAGTGCTCTGGCAATGAAGAGTGCTATTAATAAGAGGCAGCCTCATTGGAGGAGGAAGGCTGGAGCTAAAGAGGACCACAAAAGAGCCCAGACATCGCCAAGTGTTTATCAGCACCGGGTATAATTAGCCCACGCACCTTATTATAGTCAATATTTTCCATGCTTGCCAGGAACTGTTTAAGGCATCGATTGTAAAGGACATCTGCATCCTGCTGAGCTGCTTGGAAGCTGCCGAGGCTCAAAGCCACCCAGCCACAGCGAAACGGATGGTGCTAGACCGGCATCAGGGAGCAGCTCCTTAGCTGGAGCGCCGCTGATTTGCATCCTTGCCTCCAGCTGCACCATTGCAAGACTCTCTGCATTCCCATTGCACCCCAGTGCCGGGTGCTGCCCATACACACCACCTGCCCCAAGGCGCTCCCGACCTAGCAGGCATGCAGAGGGCCGGGGGAAGAGAAGGCTCCTGATCTCCAAGCCCCAGCTGAGGCCCAGGATTATGTGATTAACTCAAGGTCACACTGCGGTCCCTTCTCCGCAGCCCCAACACCCTGCCTACAAGCAGGAAGCTGTGGTGAGCTGGGAGCTGGGTCCCTTCTCCGCAGCCCCAACACCCTGCCTACAAGCATTCCTCATATCCAGCATTGCCTCCTGAGCCAGATTTCGGAGAGTCCTCAGCACCCGATGTGGGCCAGATGTTCAAAGAGGAACACACGGGTCCTAAACTCTAGCAGATAGAAAGCCCCAGCTCTTGTCTAGTGCTTTTCATCACTAGGTTTCAAAGCACTTTACAGGGCGGTCAGGATCATTATCCCTATTTTACAGAGGGAGAAACTGAGGCACAGAGCAAGGAAGTGGACTTTCCCAAGGTCACTGAGCTATCCGTTTCTGCTGCCTCCTTATTTCTGTGGCCCAATGGATCCGCAAGCCTGCGGCCTTGGGCTGATGCAATGATTGTATCAGTTACGTGCAGCTCCCTTGTCACTTTAGGCAGCTTTTTCTTAAAGAGATAGTGTTCTTTACTGTCTGTGCCCTGGTCTGCATGACAGACTTTTCTGTCTGTATCTGTCTGTCAGGACACGCCCCTGGATGACAGCGACACCCACCTCACTCCATGTAGGTAGCTACTTCACTAAGAGCTACACAGGCAGAGCTGCATTAGTGCTTCTTCACCGCTGAAGCTCTGTAAGGGTACGTCTACACAGCACAGTTATTTCGGGATACCGGAGGTATTCCAAAATAGCTACCCACGTATTAACAAGCTGTTCCTTATTTCGAAATATTTTTCAAAATAACGGGTGCATTCCACGAGGGTTAAGGGATGTCGCAAAATAGTGTGTTATTTCAAAATCTGGCATTGTGTAAATGCACCAAATTTCAAAATAAGCTATTGTTTTAGTTGGGATTGGTCCCAACTAAGCTGTGTTTTAGTCGGGATTGGTCCTGCCTTGGGCAGAGGGCTGGACTTAATGACCTCGTGAGGTTTCTCCCAGCTCTATGATTCTCAGATATGCAATTTGCGTAGCACAAATTGCATATCTTATTCCGAGTTTAGAGTGCTGTGTAGATGCACCCTCACAATGGGCAAGCCCTGTGCTCCACGAGGAAACAGCGGTGTTGACTGGAAACCATATCCCCACCCTGTGAGAAGCTTAGAGCTATTCTGCTGCAATTTTCCTTTGAGAAATAGTTTTGCTTCTGGTGAAAAATGGGAAAAAAATTGATTTCAACTAAAATCTCTCAGCATTTGTATTTTTGACAAAACTCCACTTTTTGATGGAAATGGTAAAAACTGTTCAAAAATGTCCATCAAAAATTCCATCAAAAGCCATTTTTCATCAAAATATTTATGGGAAGTTTTCGACAGCTGTAGTCAATATTGCTGCATGTGTCATGTTAGAAATACCAATGTGGAGCAAGACTCTTCTTGTGGCTGAAGACAAAGGACCTAGACTCTGTATCCATGTTTGCCGTCCTTTTTGTGTTTGTACGGTGCTTTGGGATCCTCACTTGGGATAATACAGAACCAGAATCCCAGACCAAACACTCACGACATTGCATCTTTATGGGTATATGAAATCCTCCCCCAGATACTGGTTTTGGGGCTCGAGCCATCTCTAATAAATTCAGTGCTAAATATCAGCCCACGTGTAACTGGCATGCAAGAGACAAGCGGCTGGGGGTAGCAAGGACAGGAGACCCTCAGCATTACGAACACCTCAGGAATGGAGGCTGTTTGTAACTTCGAAATGTTCATTACTTTGAACAAAACGTTCTTTCCAAAGTTCACAACTGAACATTGACTTAATACAGCTTTGAAGCAGAAGAAAAATGCTTTTAACTATGTTAATTTGAACAAAACAAACATCAAAACAGTTTCCTTACCTTGTCAAATCTCTCTTAAAGCTTTCCCTTTATTTTGTTAGCAGTTTATGCTGGACACAAGACTGTACTGTCCAGCGTTCCCTTTTCTCCCAGGCTGCCTGATTGTATAGTTCTGATTCCAAATGAGGTGTGTGATTGACAGGTCCGTCTCTAACTGCTGTACCATAGACAGGGAGCACCATAGAATCCCAGGGCTGGAAGAGACCTCAGGAGCCATCAAGTCCAACCCTGCTGCCCAAGGCAGGACCAACCCCAACTCAATCAACCCAGCCAGGGCCTTGTCAAACCGGGACTTAAAAACCTCTAGGGATGGAGATTCTACCACGTCCCCCATTCCAGTGCTTCCCCACCCTCCTAGGGAAATAGCTTTCCCTAATATCCAACCTAGACCTCCCCCACTGTAATTTGAGACCATTGCTCCTTGTTCTGTCATCCGTCACCACTGAGAACAGCCTCTCTCCATCCTCTTCGGAACCCCCCTTGAGGTAGTTAAAGGCTGCTGTCAAATCCCCCCTCACTCTTCTCTTCTGCAGACTAAATAAGCCCAAATCCCTCAGCCTCTCCTTGTAGGTCATGTGCTCCATCCTCCTAATCATTTTTGTTGCTCTCTGCTGGACTCTCTCCAGTGCACCCACAACCTTTCTATAATGGAGGGCCCAGAACTGGACGCAATACTCCAGATGTGGCCTCACCAGTGCTGAATAAAGGGGAATAATCACTTCTTTAGATCTGCTGGCAATGCTCCTCCTGAGGATAGGACAAGAAGCAATGGACTTAAACCACAGCAAGGGTGGTTTAGGTTGGACATTAGGAAAAACTTCCTAACTTTCAGGGTGGTTAAACACTGGAATAAGCTGCCTAGGGAGGTTGTGGAATCTCCATCTCTAGAGATATTTAAATGCAGGTTAGATAGACATCTGTCGGGGATGGTCTAGATGGTGCTTGGTCTTGCCGTGAGGGCAGGGGACTGGACTCGATGACCTCTCAAGGTCCCTTCCAGTTCTAGTGTTCTATGATTCTATGCCATTAGCCTTCTTGGCTACAAGGGCGCACTGTTGACTCGTATCCAGCTCCTCATTCACTGTCATCCCCAGGTCCTTTTCTGCCAAACTGCTGCTTAGCCAGTTAGTCCCCAGCCTGTAGCAGTGGTTGGGATTCTTCCATCTTAAGTCCTGTCCTTGTTGAACCTCATCAGATTTCTTTTGGCCCAAACCTCCAATTTGTCTAGGTCACCGTGGACCTATCCCTGCCCACAAACTTGCTGAGGGTGCAATCCATCTCCTCTTCCAGGTCATTAACAGAGACGACCAGGCCAAACTCTGCTCTGAGCACTGTGCTGCCTGCCCTGCCCTCGCCTGGGACGGTGTGGGAGCCGGCCCGCTGTGCACAGCAGAGTCACTGACAGAGGGACGCTATGAAACGAGGCAGGGGCTGGTTTCAAACCGCTTGCTGCACTTGGGCAGTGCCAGTCAGGCTAAGTCTCTGGGGTGCTGCCGCTTTGTTTTGTCTCCTGTTGCACGACTGAGCTGCTTTTTGTTCCCTCTCTCTGTCTAGATCCGGAGGCGCCGGCCAACTCCTGCCACCCTGGTTCTGAGCAGCGACCAGTCGTCCCCAGGTGAGATTCGTAGCCAGCGGATGATATTCAGGATTGGTCTCTCTCAGGGGATCCTGGGAAATGTGTTTCCCTTCTCAGATCTGGCCCTTAGTACAGGCCCCTATGCCAGGGCCCTCTCCTGACATACGGACTTCGATTGGCCTGGGTAGGTTTCTAGCCATGCCCAATGGTCAATCTGTAGGCACCACTACCCCACAGTACAGCTCCACAGACTCTGGGGGAAGGGGGGTTGCCTTCTCATGGGGGGGGGATCTGTCCCTCACCTTCCAATGAATGAATATAAGCAAACAACACAGGGATGCAGAGGCAAGATTAGAAAGACAAAAGCACAAAACAAGCTAAATCTAGCTAGAGAAGTAAAAGGTAACAAGAAGATGTTCTACAAGTATATTCAGAGCAAGAGGAAGACCGAGGAAAGTGTAGGCCCATTGCTCAGTAAAGAGGGAGAAACAGTAACAGGAAACTTAGAAATGGCAGAGGTGCTTAATGACTTGTTTCAGTTTTTGTCATGAAGATGAATGGTGACAGGATGCCTACGAAAGTGAATGGTAATGGAAATGGGGTAGGTTTAAAAGTTAAAATAAAAGAACATGTTAACAATTACTTAGAAAAGTTAGATGTCTTTAAGTCATCAGGGCCTGAGGAAATGCATCCTAGAATTCTCAGGGAGCTGATAAAGGAGGTATCTGAGCCTTTAGCTATCATCTTTGAAAAGTCATGGAATTTGTAAATTAATGTTTTAACATTTATGAAGAGGGAATAAGTATCTTTCACTATGGAAAATCATTCGTATTGAAAGAAGGGGGGGAAGTAGAAACAGCTAAGGATTTATTTATTTTATTATATTGAAAAAAATGTCTGCTTGTAAATCTTCACCCATGTCCTCTCTTTCTTTTCTGACCATTAAGGTGATAGGGAACAGCCAGCATGGATTTGTAAAGAACAAATCATGTCAAACCAATGTGAGAGCTTTCTTTGTTAGAATAATGAGTCTTATGGATAAGGGAGAAGCGGTGAACGTGGTATACCTAGACTTTAGTAAGGAATTTGACACGGTCTCGCATGACCTTCTTAAATAAATCAATGCATTAGGGAAATACAACTTAGATAAGGCTACTATAAGGTGAGTGCATAATGGGCTGGATATCCATTCTCAGAGAGTAGTTATTAACGGTTCACAATCATGCTGGAAGGGCATAACCAGTGGGGTTCTGCAGGAGTCCATTTTGGGAATGGTTCTGTTCAATATCTTCATCAGTGATTTAGATGATGGCATAGAGAGTGCGCTTATTAAGTTTGCAGATGATACCAAGGTGGCAGGGGTTGCAAGTGCTTTGGAGGATAGGGACAAAATTCAAAATGATCTGGACAAACTAGAGAAATGGTCTGCGGTAAACTGGATGAAGTTTAATAAGGACAAATGCAAAGTGCTCCACTTAGGAAGGAACATACAGTTTCACACATACAGAATGGGAAGTGACTGTTTAGGAAGGCAAGTATCAGAGGGGTAGCCGTATTAGTCCGTATTAGTCCTAATCTGCAAAAACAACGAGGAGTCCTGTGCACCTTATAGACTAACAGATTTATTGGAGCATAAGCTTTCATGGATGCATCTGATGAAGTGGGCCTTTGCCCATGAAAGCTTATGCTCCAATAAATCTGTTAGTCTATAAGGTGCCACAGGACTCCTCGTTTAGGAAGGAGTACTGCTGAAAGGGATCTAGGGGTCATAGTGGACCACAAGCTAAATAGGAGTCAACAGTGTGACACTGTTGCAAAAAAAGCAAACGTGATTCTGGGCTGCATTAACAGGAGTGTTGTGAGCAAGACATGAGAAGTCATTCTTCCGCTCTACTCTGCACTGATTAGGCCTCAATTGGAGTAGTATGTCCAGTTCTGGGCACCACATTTCAAGAAAGATGTGGAGAAATTGGAGAAGGTCCAGCGAAGAGCAACAAGAATGATTAAAGGTCTAGAGAACATGAGTTATGAGCGAAGACTTGAAAGAATTGGGCTTGTTTAGTTTGGAAAAGAGAAGATTGAAAGGGGACATGATAGCGGTTTTCAAGTATCTGAAAAGGTGTTACAAGGCGGAGGGAAAAAAATTGTTCTCCTTGGCCTCTGAGGATAGATGGGACAAGAAGCTGTGGGCTTAAATTGCAGCAAGAGAGGTTTAGGTTGGACATTAGGAGAAATTTCCTGCCTGTCAGGGTGATTAAACACTGGAATAAATTGCCTAGGGAGGTTGTGAAATCTCCATCACTGGAGATATTTAAGAGCAGGTTAGATAGACACCTGTCAGGAATGATGTAGACCAGAGCTAGTCAACTTTGGAAGCCCCGGGGGCCACAATGATACTCACAGCACATGCGGAGGGCCACAACTTAATTGTGGTTGCAGATACATGCAAATATATATGCAAATAGCTTCTTTCACACTGACGGGCATGAATACAAAACACTTCCCACAATGCCCCAATGCTCCCAGCACCTCCTCCCAGAGGGCTAGAAATACCGACACCCTGTACCCGTCTGTTCCAGCCAGCCCATCTGCTTGCGTCTTTCAGTGCTCACCCTGCCTGGGAGATTCCTCGCCATTGTGGAGTGCGTTCAAAGGATCCCACCTGCGGGCAGGAGTGGCTTAAGGAGAGCTGCGGCAGCTGGCACCCTAGGCGGAATGTGCAATCAGCCCCCCTGCCTCCATAGCCCTCAATGGTGTGACGTCATCATTGGGCACCGTCTTAAACGCGGCGCCTAGACAACTGCTGAGGCTGCCCCTGCCTGCGGGACGCATGTGGACTCCCATGTAAACCCAAACCACACCGCGGGCCACAAACAAAACGTGTTGAGTAGCCCTGATCTGGGCGGTGCTTGGCCCTGCTGTGAGGGCAGGGGTCTGGACTTGATGACCTCTTGTGATTCTGTGATTCCCTTCTGCCTGCTTCTCCACCCCACCAGCACACCTTGCTCCAATCCAGGCCATGCTGCCTGTTCTGCTTCCAAGGCTGAAGCTATCACAGAGTCCCAGGGGGCTCCCCCTGCCAGTCTTTTGTCTCCCTTGGACACAGCTGCCTCCGGCATCCAAGAGGCCCGTCATGCACCATCCTGTCCCAGGAGCCCTTTGGCAGCTTCTCCCTGCACCAGGCAGCGGATGCCTGGTTGAACTCTGATCTGTCTGTCTGTCTGCGAAAATGTCAAGGGAGCTACCTGCCCTCTGCTTGTACTTTACAAGGGCTGCATCTGACCTGCAACGTGCAGACTGAGAGCAGCCATGGGGAAAGGGGGTCAGGTTTGTACAAGTAGAAAGTTGGCCTCCCTAGCATTTCCTTTCCCCTGGGATGGGCTGGCTTTGTGCCCCAGATACAGGGAGCGAGTCAGCAGAGAGGCTGGCGCAAGCCAGGCCAGAAAGCAGCAGGACTGCCCTGCACAGGCCAAAGACAACACTTTCCAATGCAGAACCCACTGCTTGGCCCTGAATCCCATGTTGAGGCTCCAAAATACGTGGCCTGATTGTTCTGGCATCTTGTCTTCACAGTTCTTGTTGATCTAAGAGGGAGGGGTGAGCAGGGCTTTTTGTATCAGGCCACGGATTTGGACCAGGCTTGACTTAAGGGATTTTGCGACGTGCATCTGTTTTGACAACCATACAAGTTTACACAAAACTGTCTGAAAAATCGTTTATTTTGTTTTGATCCAGGGACTCTGCCCCCTGTGTTGCCAAGTTTCCCACAGTCATCACGGTTAGGAAGGTTTGGCCAGTGCTGCCATAGGTCGTTAGAGGTCAAGGCTGAGAACAGGGCCCCGTCACACAGGGCACTGCGCAGACAGGTGGTAGACAGTCTCTGCCCCCAGCTGTTCTCTGTCAGGCATGCATCACAGCGGTACCTGTAGTGTAGAAGCTGGAATGGGGATTTACCAGACTTATTTCATGTCAGCGACATCAAATCCAAGGGGAACAAGGTTAGGCCATGCTTGAGTCCTAAAATCGGAGTGCCGGAGGAGAGATGGGTGTTCAATAAGCCGTGTTGTTCTGGAGCGTTTGGCATGACTCAGTTGCTAAGTTCTCAGCCTAGCTACACTGGCTGAATTCAAACCAGTGACCTGCAGGCAAAAGGTTCATTAGTAACACTTCAAGCTTATATTCCTGGGGCTACGTCTACATTGCACTCTCTTGCACAATAACATATGCAAATGAGGTGCAGCAATGAATATTGCCACGCCTCACTTGCATACTTAATGAGCTGCCATTTTGCACAAAGGGGCTTTTGCACAAGAAGGAGCAGTCTACACTGCTCCTTCTTGAGCAAAAACCCCCTCTGGTGCAAGAGCCGTTCTGCCTGAAAATAAGCGGCAGAAAGGCTCTTGCACAAGAGGGGTTTTTTGCACAAGAAGGAGCAGTGTAGACTGCTCCTTCTTGTGCAAAAGCCCCTTTGTGCAAAATGGCAGCTCATTAAGTATGCAAATGAGGGGTGGTGATATTCATCTCTGCGCCTAATTTGCATATGTTATTGCACAAGAGAGCGCAGTGTAGACATAGGCCCGGTGTCCACGGAGTAATCCTGCCCCATCATTGGTACTAGCTAGAGAGAGTCAGGGAAGGAGCAAACTCTGAGCTGTTTGCAACAGCTCCCTGAAGAAACTTTATTGCAAAGTCATCACCAACAGAGCATTGCTTCAAAGTCTGAACACTGCTCACTCTCTGGAAAAGGAACTTGTAAGACTCTATAACAGCACCACTAACAACACAGACCTAGCTCTGGGTAAACTTTTTCAAACAATTCAAGAAAAAAATCAGTGTTAGATTGATCGGCTATTCATGAATTCAGGCTGAATTCAGCAAATAATTTCTGCGGTTAAAAAAATAAGATTTTTTGTTTAAAGTTGAAACTTTTGAAATGTTAAAAATGACATATTTTGAGTTTTAGTTTCAAAACAGTGATCTGTTTCAGACTGTGACTGAGAATAATTTTTTAAAAAACGGAAAAAAACACTGGGAAAAAA